GCAACACATGTTTTCCCTCATTTGCAGATCATAGCACCAATCCCTTATATGTGAGTATATATCCTGATGTAATATCAGGAGTCAGAAAAAAACAGAAGGGAAACACGGAGTTAAAGGAAAAGAAAGAACCTGAAAGATGGGGATAGGGAACAGACTTTGAGCAATGGAGCAGGAACTGACTGGAAGTCTTCGACCTGAAGTTTAGCTCTTATAGGTCTGAAGGATACTATGGAAGGTGCTAAGGGAGAAGATCAATCAATGGTCCAACTCAGCTGTAATGTCTAATAACCATAAGGACTAGCACAGCAAACAGGTGGCTTGTACTATTGGTACAACTGTCTAATTGAACTTGAAGCTCTCTCAATGGGAGTAAACTTACAGGTGTCACTGTAAACTCAGCCAAATATATATGGTTGGAGAGATCATAGATCCTAGAGAAAACCCCATCTCTAGACAAATGAAATTTACCATATGCTAAATATGGATCCGTATATTTACAGACAAGCATACTGTACACCACTCATCAAAGAAGCTTCTTTTTGCAACATATGGAGGCTACTGCAGAATCCTACAATTGGGCAGACACAAAATACACATCTGAGAGATGTTCAGCCCCAGGGACATATCTACAGTGGAATCTCTACACCTAAGACTCATGGAATGGCAGGTACAGAGAAAATTAGTGAATCTCTCAGTTCTCACCAATGAAGCCTCCTTATATAACAGAGTGTGATGCACTCAAAAGCTTGTACATGTGAACTAGCACAGTGGCAATGGTGGCATTGAGCAAAGGACTCCTGCCAACTCATTTAGGCAAGGGCCCAGAGTAGAGTGAGGGAAATGGGTGGCAGGCCCTCCCTAGGCTGGGAACTACTGGAACCTGATTACTACTGGGTGAAAGCGTGTATGCCTTACTTACCATCTCTAGATGGACTGACTAGTCTCCAGTGCAGTGAGTGAACTAGCATGGGTATCTAGGTACAAATGCTTGACTGGTTAGTACTTAACACCTACAGTGTAATACATGAGGTCCAGTGGGGGTAGTTGGTAGAGCATGGATGGGAGAGGGGGTCTAAATTTGATTAAGAACTGTTTCATGAAATGTACAAAAGCTCAATAAAAACTTTTTAGAAAAAGCTTTCAAAGGGTCCGTATAAAGTCTTTTTTAAAGTATTTTTCTTCCCCATTCTATTTCACTTGCTTCCCAGCTTCTCCTCAAAAGTCCTAAGAGTCACAAGTGTGTATGTGTTCGCTCACTCGTTCGTTCATTCATTCATTCATTCATTCATTCACTGAAATGCAGCCCAGATCAGTCTGGAAATTGCTATCCATCCTGGTGATTTGGTGATATTCCAGGATTGCTTTTTATTTTTTTAAAAATGAAAGTGTTCAGCTAGGTGAACAAATCTGCAGCTGCCCCAATTACCAGGCATTGATGCAAAAGGATTTGCTATGGAGGCCAACATGCAAATTAGCTTGTAGCCTCGCAGAAGAGCAAGAATGTTTTTCTTCAGATTCTTTTTTAAAAAAAATATAGGTTCAAAGGACTTGCCTATGCAGCTCTGTAATAACCCTGTGCACACAAAGGTGTGTTTGCTAGGTGGGAGCCTCTTCATTCCATTCTCAGAATCTGCTCAATCCTGTGTCCTGTCATTAGGGCTTCTATGCGTCCAAGGTACAGCCAAGCAGAACTGTTCACTGCGAGATGTAGGTCCTTCCATATACTGAGACTGCACTGTAGTTGTTTTTAATGTGTGATATTCAGAGAAACATAAATCTAGGAGTTGTTATTTATACAGAATAGTGTTCCTTTTTCTGTGTCTTTGCTTTCTGTGATGTCAGTTAGTCACTTGTCAACCATGGTCTAAAAATAGTAAGTGGATAACTCCAGAAATAATAATCTGCTAATTTTTTAAATCATATAACATTCTGAGCAGTGTAAAGGAATCTGCTCCATCTGCCTAGGGTGTGAATCATCCTTTTGTTCAGTGTGACAATGCTGTATATGCTACCTGCACATCAGTCATCTAGGAGCTGTCTCAGTTCTTGGACTGACCACCGGTATCATAGTGCTTGTGTTCAAGTAGCCCTTGATTTACTTAATAATGACCCCAAATCATGAGTGTAGCAATGCAGACAATGTAGGTATGTCAAAAGAGGGCAAGAATGTCTATTTTTCACTGAATAAAGGAAAACTCTTAAAGGAAAGAAGAAAAAAATCATTGTGAAGATCCAGGAAAACAAACACATAAAACCACAAAAGAATCAGTCATCCATGAAATTTTGAAGAGGAAAGAAATTCAAGCTAGTTTTGCTATATCTCAAACTGCAAAAGATAAATCCACAGTGTATTGGTATGTGCTTAGTAAAGATAGAAAAAGCAGTATTAATGGGGGTTGGGACATAACACCCATGGAGAAGGGGAGGCAATTACTCAAGATGGGAAGAGCATCCCAGGGGTCACCCAGTCCTTGGGCCTGCTTCCCTGGGTGATATCAGGCTGGGGATTCTTTGTTCTGCTTCACCCACCGCTACTCTTCCCTCGGCTTTCAGTGACATTTTGATCCTTGCTGCACCATTCCATTTTCTTTATCACTATGGGACTGTCCCCTTTAAAATTCCATTACTTTCCTTTTAATACAGATTCAGGAGGAAAAGGAGATTAAGGTTGTGTCTGTCAAACTGAACTGAAAGCACAAGGTACACACTGTTAACGGGGATTCTGCCTTGTTTTATCCGGTGCAAAGATGATTCAGATATCAATTTAAAACCAGCAATGACTCCATGGTAGAGGACTCAGACAGTTTTTCGGTCTCCATGGATCAAATTAACTGGAAATCAGAAATATGTTCACTTATTTTATGTCATAAATATAGAAATCTAGGTGAAAATTATATAACTATATGACCTATTAAACTACATTCATTTAAATCATTTTATGTAGCTATTTTATTTTTACAAAAGACTTAGGGAGAATTTTAAAAATATGGAATTTCCAATGCCAGTTGATTGACTACTTTAGGCAATTTAATATCTTAATGGCAAACTTGCTAAAGACTCACTGGTTTATGTCAAATGGAAAATAACTCTTGCACTATGTGATTCATGACCATGATTACATGCGACATTATCTTCATATAGCATCAATTGGGCACATAGCAATAGCTGTAGTGTGCTGAGTTTTTCAGAGAACTTTTCTTTGTTTTTTTTCTTAAAAATATTTTATAGCTGGGGTGGTGTCATACACCTTTAAACCCAGCATTTGGGAGGCAGAGGCAGGCAGATCTCTGTGAGTTTAAGGCCAGCCTGGTCTACATAGCAAGTTTCAGGCCAGCTGGGGCTATAAGGAGACCCTGCCTCAAAAGACCAAAAATAAATATTTTACTTATTATTTTTATTTCATATGTATGAGTGCATTGCTTGCATGTAAGTGAGTGCACTCCTGTTGGGCAGTGTCTCTGGAGGTCAGAAGAGGGCATTGGATTCCTTGGAATTCAAGTTCAGGACAGTTATTTGCTGCCATGTGGGTGCTGGGAACTGAATCTAGGTCCTCTGCAAAACAGCCAGTGCTCTTAACTGTTGAGTCATCTCTCCAGCCCTGATATAGTCCCTTTTCAATGTTCCATTGATGTTAAATTATTTCAGCACACAGAGGTATTTTATATAAAATAAATAAATACATGTATTTGAGATTAAGTATTAAAAGTGGGTCTTCAAACTCATTACATTTACACAAATCTATTCCGCCTATTAGTCTTATTTCCAGAACACCAGTACATACCAAAGAGCTGTTAAGTTCTTGGTACTTTACAGAAAGTTGATGAGTTCAACACTCTTCTTCCCTTTGGCTACTTCTTATTATCAGAGAATTAGAATTAGTGATTATGTCTGTAGCAGAGTTCATTTAACTCGAGTGGAAAAGAGCGGACTAGGCAAAACAAAATGCTTATTAGGCAAGCTGTTGATAAGCTCCTTTCAATAAAAAGACAGAAAAGGAGTGCAAATACCTTAGAAGGACCCATCCTTCAGGGTCGTCAGCAGTTCAGTCTTTGTGTAACATCTTAGCCACATCAGACCTTGAGGCCATCTCATACACGTTACTGACCCTGTTTAGTGATCTCTAACATTAATATCTTTCTAACTGTATAACTTTATACCTTAGAAAGTCTTTGTCATATGTAACAGTATAAATGTGGCTTAGGAATAGTGCAACCAGTTCTCTCCAGATCAGTGAAGTCTTTTCATATAACCTTATAGTGGACAGGTCTGTACAACCGAGTCAGATATGCTTTCAAATATAAGCTGTACTATTTTTTTAAATGTAAGTGTCCATGCAAAAAAATGCTTAATGCCTCTGAGAATCAAGATTTACAAAAATGGATAGCTATCTCATAGGATTATATATATATATATATATATATATATATGAACATAGAAGATCTATATAAAGAAAAATAGGTGTACCCTGGGACCTAATATACACTCAATATTTCTTCACTATTTTCTTGAAGGAATATTCATGAATGTGTACTATTGGGCAACTGTCCGAAGAGACTTCAGTTCTTAGCTCAAGAATTATATCGGGGGTGGGGATAGAGCCAAAAAATTAGATTATTTCTCTCTCTTTTCTTCTTTTTACCACTTTGATGCTGAGTCTGTCAAGTACCCACTCCGGGTCCTCTATTAATCTTTCACACACCTTTTCTAGAGGGTAATGCTTATACCATATTACAGACATCTATTCATATTTGTCACTCACAATGAATTCAATGAAGAAAGGTGAGATTTTACATTTACCTTGTTAAATCTAGCACCTGCCATGGTGCTCAACATACAACACGAGTTTCACAAATAATTGAAAGGAAAAGGAAGAGGGAGAAAGAGAAATAGAAGGGAAGAAAGAGGAGAAAGAAGAGGAGGAAGAGGAGACAGGAAAGGGGGAGAGGCAGGATTCTATGGTTAAAGGTAGTTTACTCGAGCTTAAGAGCTGGTTCTCTTACCCTTCCAAGGAGATGGCCCTCTGGAGAGTCACTGAAGGCTGACGGGTTGCAGTGCTGTGTTGGGAATGACTGTAAGAAAAGACAGAAAAAACTTGGATCATTAATTTAAATATTTTAACAAGTCTTATTGTCAAGAAAATTGAAAGATACTGTAGAGATTAAACGTGTAGCTGATAAGAATCATCGTCTACCAACCCCCTCCACCCAAACCGTAGCACTCTGCAGAGTAGGGTTAAGACTTCTTTGTAATTTGATTTCAACATGTATTATTCCAGAGTAAGCCTTAAGTGATAAGTTACCATGAAAAGAAACATATTTAGAAAAAGTAATTGTCCCCCCTTCAAATGAGATAACACAGAGCATAAAATATAAATCTGATTATCATGCAATGTACATTTTAATGTTTAGAATTTCATACATGCCAGAGTTAGTGGATATCTACAGCTAAACAGTATTTGCTGGTCATGACAGGGCCATTGTATACATAGACTCACAGTTGCTAGGACTAAATGCTCAAGACCTGCACCACATCAGGCCAAAATCCCTGCATGAATGGCAGTAGGGTTGAGGTCCCACTGCTATCTGCGGAATTACTGGAAACGTGGTTGCTGGGGTGGGAGAGTCAGTTTTCTTCAGGGATGCAGCATCTGAGAGCTTACTCATGTTCAGTAGATAATCCTACACTCATGCACACGTAAGGAGCACTCAGCAGATCAAATCATTAAAAAAAATCTTGAGCTTTTGTACATATCATACAACAGTTCTTAATCAAACTTATACTCTCTCCCTCCATCTATGCCCTCCACCCCCCCCAACTGAATCTCATGCATTCTGCCATACATGTTGTCCTATCCAGTCAAGCATTTGTACCCAGATGTCCTTCAGTGCAAATTCATCCACTGGAGTCTAGTCAGCGTATCTAGAGATTGTTGGTAAGCCTACTCTCCCTCACCCAGTAGAACTCAGTTTCAAACAGCTCCCAGACTAGGTCCAACCTACCACCTATTTCCCTCACTCCCCTCTGGGCCCTTGTCTGACTGAGTTGTCATGGGTCCTGTGGTTGTTGCCACCACTGCCACAAGTTCATGGGTAAACTTCCAGTGTCTTGAAAGCCTCTGCTTCCCTATGCTCATGGCCCAACCCCGGCTCTTACAATCTTTTTAGCCCTTCTTCCCCAATAGTCCCTGAGCCAGGAGTGGGAGAGGTTTGATACAGGATTCCTATCCAGGGACATACCCTTCACAGTCTCTTATTCTTTAAAAGTTGGTCAGTTGTGACTTTTTGTCTGTACTGTACTCTGTTGTATAAGGAATCTTTACTAGTGAGCATTGAGGGATGCACTAGTTTTCTCTCTATGGCCCCCACCCCAGTTCTGCCATGTTCCATGTAGATGTAGAGGTTCCACTGTAGATATGTCATCTAGGACTGGGCATCTCTCAGACATATGTGGGATTCTGCAATAGCATCCATGTGTTGCAAAAGAAGCTTCTTTGATGAGTGGTGTATGATATACTTGTCTGTAAATGTATGGATCCATATTGAGCATGATAAGAAGTTCCATTTGTCTAGGGATATGACAGAGGTAGGGTTTTCTCTAGGATCTATGACCTCTCCAGCATGTGTATTTGGTTGTGTTTATAGTGCCACCTGTGACTTCACTTCCTTTGTGAGGGCTTTAAGTCCAATTAGACAACTGTTGATTACCCCCAAGATAACAGTGCCACTACTGTTTGTTGTGCCAGTCATGGTTATTAGGATTTAGGGCTAGGTTGAACCATTGATTGATTTTCTCCCTTAGAAACTTGCACAGTATCCTCCAGAACTATGGAGCTAAACTTCAGGTAAAAGGCTTCCAGGTCAGTTCTTGCTCCATTGCTCCAAGTCCTATGTTTGAAGTATATCCTGTCTTCAGCAGCAGCATCTTAAAAGTGAGAAATATATTTTTATTTTTTAAATATTTTATTTTTATGTGTATGAGTACATTGCCTGCATGTATATAAGTGCATCCATGTCATGTAATGTCTGCAAATGTCAGAAGAGAGTGTCAAATTCCCCTAAAGCTAGAGTTACGGATGGTTGTCAGCTACCCATGTGGGTGTTGGGACTTGAACCTGGGTCCTCTGTAAGAACTCTCAGTGCTCTTAACTACTGAACCATCTCTCCATCCCTGCAATATACTTTTTTAAGCTTCCAAATTGTGTTTCTAACAAAAATTTATACAGACTAATCTATAAATAAGCATAATTCATTTATTAGTTAAACTATGCAACATTTATTCATAAAATTAATTAGTAATGATTCGGCTGTTTGGTAAAACAAACACTTGAAAAATAGGACTTCCAATTGAATAAAGTGTTAGAATTTGATGTAATTCATTATTTTGTTTTGATTTCATTTTGCAGGATTAATTTTGTATCTAAGTAGTAGAAATAAAAATTTAATTAATGATCACTTATATCAGCAAATGACTTCTAAAATGGCCGTATATGCTTATGCCTTTTGTTTGTACAAAATCTGTGAGTTAGATCCTATTTAATAGATAGAAAAATTGAAGGAGAAAGAGGTTTAAATGCTTGCTTAAAGTCCTATGGTGAAAAACTCTGGCTGAATTGACATCTAAACTGATTTTGTAGCCACTTAGAAAAGACGCAGAAGAAACTTTCATTCTGAATAAAGTACAACATAATTCAACAGCAAAACTGTATCTGAATGAATATATATACTTTATGGTTGTGGAATTAGTTTGTTATTTTAGTTGAAATGTTAGTTACACACATGTGGCAAATGAGTATGTGCACAAATACATATATGTGTGAGAAGAAACTGTAGTCTAATATTTGGAAAGCATTAGGTGTTTTTGCAAAGCTTTAGGATGTCTCACTTGAAAACACTGGTATTGCCACTGCGGAGATGTTCATTCAGAATCTTAGATATTAAAGGTGAGAATGGATGTCTCTCTGAGACTATTTTTAGTTTGCGACATGGATGACATTTGTCTAAGATTAAGGGAATAGAATTATAAGAACTTAGCTGAAGCCCAAGGAATGGTGTTCCTCAAGCAGAGGAATGTACTTTTATTTCCTGTATCCCTCACACATATCCTTGGTGAAGATGTTCTGAGAAGTCAATGTAGAAGCAGCAGTGTTTAGACCATGAATCAGCTTGCCTGAGAACAGGTCCTGACCCCACCACATCGCACGATCTGCACCTCACCTGAACTTCTGTGCTTTTCTACTAACTTCACCCCACTTAAACCTCTTGGCATGCCAGTTTCTCATCTGTTGGGTTTGGATGGTAATAATGCTTTCTTCGTAAGGTTGTCATAAGGTTTCAGTGAATAGTGTTTAGAATACGGGATGTCACATGGTAAAAGTTATGTAGTTATCAAAACAATAGGCATATGAGTTAGCAGAGAGTATACTTTGAATTATTTAGGTGTAAGTAAGGCCACTTGTTTAGATTTCTTCAGTTAGCTGTAAGTCAATACTACAGCTATGTATTTCTGCAAAAAATATAGCCTTGCTGTTAAATATGAAATTGAAATATATTTTCTATTATAAAAACATTATGAAATCATGAGGAATACAAAGTAGAACATATATGGGATAAACAAGTTTAGTGATCTAATGTAGTCCATGAAGGCTGTAGGTAATAAAACTGTACTGTGGATGAGATTCATGCTAAATGAGATTTTAGCTGCTCTTGCCTCAAAAGCAAAACGATATAAAAGGGCAACTAGAAGAGGAATAGCTACTTTGACTCATTACAGTGACCCTTTTACTATCTATGTGTTCCCTACAACATGATAATTTATGTCAAATGTATAAAATAAATTAATTTTTAAAATTAATGACAATAAAAGATAAAGTATAAAAGGACTGAAGAGACAGCTCAGAGGTTAAGAGCACTGACAGTTCTTGCAGAGGACACAGGTTAAATTCCCAGCACTCAAATGGGAGCTAACAAACATCTGTAACCACAGTTCCAGGAGATCCAGTGCTCTCTTCTGACCTCCACAGACATTGCATGACATGAGTGCACTTACACACATGCAGGCAATACACTCATATACATAAAATAAAAATAATAAAATATTAAAAAAGATAAAGTAAAAAAATTCACCCATAGTTTTATATTCTGTCAGACTTCACAGTGTTATTTAATTTAATTCTCATGGCTGTCTTATGGGGTAGATATGAGCCCATTTATTTTATATGTAAGAAAATAAAACACAGAGAAATTAATAGCTCACAAATTGTGGGTCAAGAAATCAGTCTATAGCTTTTCTTTCAACACCATGTGTACTTTCAGTTCTTGTTGACTCCCTACACATCAATATACATTTACATAGCTTTATATATACACAGACCACACACACACAAGATAGTATTTGTTATTTGGTTTTATATGATATTACTTCCTATTCAGATGTAATTTATTATTTAGCTCTTCTTTGTTGTTGGATAGTTAGGTTATTTCTATTATTTTAATACTACAAACAGTACTGCAATGACTATGTGATAAGAATTACTTTTCCCTTCCTACAGTTTCCTTTAGATTCATTCCTTCAAATGGAAACTCTTATTAGATTTTTGATTTACGTTACCAACTAGTCTTTAGAAACTTTGAACCCATTTGCTACTGTTACTGAATATGTTAAAGCTGTAATGAAATGCTTCTTCTAATCATATAGTTTTTAAAAATTTTTTAAAATACAGAAAAATTCAATAAAAAGAAAAAAATGTATATATCTATATGTTTCTTCCTAGTGTTAGAACCACTGATTTCATAATTCAAAACAAAATTTATTTATTTATTATTTATGTATGTGTTTGTATATGGCATGATGAGTGTGTGGAGGTCAGAACCCACCCACATGGATTGGTTCTGTTCTTCCACTATGTGGGTTCAGGGGGTTCAAACTTTGGTCGTCAGGGTGGCAGCAAGCACCTCTACTAACCACTGAGCTATCTTGCTGGTGCCCAGAGCTCATAATTTTTAACATCCATGAAAATTTCAAAGATGCAAAGTGACACTTTTTACCATAGGCATTTCTTTATTAGTGAAAA